TGCGCGCTTCCACCAACAACAACAACCACCAAGACAACTGCCAAGGATGTGGATGAGAAACATGAAGGCAGCAAACAGGCACGCAGCCGAAGCCACCAACGACGCCGTCGACGTCATCATCGACGCAGACGAAGCTCCACCAGAAGAAGATGCAGCACCTCCCGCCAACACGACGCAGCACCGGAAGCCTCTGACAGAGGAAGACAGCGGAGTATCCACGCGACGAACTCCGACCCCCCACACTCCGAGAACACGCGTGGACAGCCGATCGCCGCGCCAACTGGTTACCCTGCGCAGCTTTTCCAGCCTGCACCACGAGGTGAGGTGGACATACAGAGCACCATCACAGCACCATACAGCAGCAGCAGCAGCAGCAGCAGCAGCACCACCACCACCTCCACCACCTCCTCCAGCTTTCGCACCTGCAGGAGCTCAATACACTACAAGAGCGCCCGTCCCGACGACCCACAGCGCTCAACTCACAAACCCAGCGTGCTGCAAATGCAAATTCGACGGGTAGCGGACAGGATCCAACAACATCAGCACGCAACGGGAGGACAACAGCAAGACACAGCTGAGCCTAGCACCTCCCGACGAACCCCGCAAAGGTTGGTCCTTCCGGTTGTGGAAATACCGGCAAACCAACGACCGAGATTGCATGCTTTTGACGCGCAACACGTGCAGCAGATGACTAGCACGTCGTTGGAGCTGGCCGCCGACACCAACCTGAGCATCAACTTCATCCGCTCTGTCTGTGAAGCTATCCATGTTCAAGTTCGCGTGAGATGTGCAAAGAATTAAACGCAAAAGTTTTCAGCATAAGCGGTGGAGTGCTTGTGGCTTGGATGGGCGAGCCACGCCTTCCATTTGGACAGACTCGTGAAGAGCTTGAACAAACACCCAGTGCTGTGTATGAGTATATTTGCGCGCATGGTACCACAGTTGATTGTCTAGGACACATTCTTCTTGTGGAGATACACGAACAGCCACACCCACCAGCACCACTTGCGCTCTTCACAATCTCACGAGAAACCTTCCCAGAAGAGACAAGCGACAAGCACAACAAGCCTTGGGCACTGTCTTCAAGACAGGCAAACTGCGCTCACCACAAATCAACAAACCCGTTTATGTACAGCCACTCATGCATCCCAGCTATCACAACTGACAAAACACCACAGCACCTTGTTACCACTACACATACCTAGCACAAAACTTGTGCACAAAAAACATCTACCACTACAACAGATCTTACACAACTGGCGAGCAGCACACACATCCTGGGATCCTCAAAATCCCCCGACATGCGCGTGTGCATCCTTACCGCACGAAACATGTCACACAATATACACAAACAACATGTCGCAATACAACGCGCACAGCTTCAACCAGAACATCAATTTCTTGCCTACTCGGGCGAAAGCAACGTACTTATCAAAGACACCCAGCTTGCAACACAACTCACCAAGTCGATCCGCAGCTGGCACAAACACCACCATATCCCCACCACCCAACACAACATCAAACATTTCGTCACGGAACAAATCAAGAAACATCGGGCCAGCAAAAAGCAACACATCAGCATACATACGGTCAAACAAGTTCAGAAACAGCTCCCAACCGGGAACATACATTGCGAAGACCATTTCCCCAATCGACTTATGTGGTCCTGTCCAGCGCTATACCACACTGACATCACAAACACTTTCACTGATCCAGAATCCAGATGCGTTTGAGATTTCACCAGCACCTCCACTCGCCCATCACCATGACACCTACAACCACATCTCCAACCTTTTACCAACGTACAATTGGGCCCTCAAAGACTGGGGTCGCGTTCCTCAAGCATACCTACCACCTAAGTCCAACACCAGCACGTGCCAAACGTCACCATAAGAGAGGATGGACTGTATAAAGATAGTCGTTGCTATAGGGTATGCTTGGACAACATGATGTATTGGACGGATCCCTTTTTTATGATCTCATGCACAGTATTACAGCAAATTTACCTGGTGTTTGCTCCGCAAAAGCAGGAACTATATATAGAATGCTTAGATATAGGATGTGTCGAAAACAGTAGTACACTGTGAAAGACTTTTTGTGAATGCGAAAGTTCAAAAAAGAAGAAGAGAGAGAGAGAGAGAGATATATATATATATAGATGAACAAATATTCCGACCAAACAGCTTCGTTTCTTTAGGCCTCCCCCCTCAAATATAAAGCAAACAATGCGATTCCTGGGGACTGTGGTGGAGTACTTCAATTCAGGGATCTCGAGCAGTTTGCGATTGGATCGATCGAGGTTTCCAGGGCATTCGATCATATGATTAGTTTGGGATTTGGGATTTCACATGTCATGTTAAGGTTCGGGATTGATTTGCGATTTGTCAATTCGAGCACGTTTGCCTCGCATTTTGGGATCACAGGGGTTTTTGAAGAACTGCCGGGGCTACTGCTATGTCTGCTGATTCCCAAGTCCCGAACTTAAGAATTCTTGATACTAGGTAGAACTTATCTGTTTGGAAGCTTGTGTGATGATAGTGCAGGCATGGCCTGGCAAGCCCCGGCTTTCCGATCGAAAGCGAGGGTGATCTGTGACAACTTGTACCAGCAGCTAGACGAAGAGCATTTGCTGAAAACAGGAAGGATTACCAGAGTGCATCACTTCAGGACCCGGAAGAATCGTGAAAGTTTTCGGTGGGTCTTCTCCGTGCACAATAATAGGTTCTTCACTTTGCGAGCTGTTACGGAGGCCCTTCGCTTGATGTTTAAAGAGCACAAGCATCTGCGACTTCCTGATGTCCCAGGGTTAAAATTTAGTGAGTGGTGCCAGAAAGAAGCAAAAACTTTGCAGCAGCTCTTGTGCAAAGCTCGTCGCTCCATCGCCATGGACAATGAGGAGACGCAGGTGCTACAGGACCATCGGGCAGGGGCCAGATCGAGGTATATATAGGTACACAGATAGAAAGAAAGATAGATAGATAGATGGATATATATATATATCAATTTTTCTAGATATAGGCATGAAAGAAATTCAGGCAGAGATTGAGACATAATGGGCCAGGGTTCTTGTTTGAAGCTGCGATCACAACTAAGATCATTGCATGCACAGAACCTGTCGAGAACAACATGTGGCAATTACTTCCCGAAGGATGAAGATGATGATGATGAGATGCAGGGCGATGGCGAGCAGGCTTTTCAGCTGCATTTTCAGATTGCATAGAAAGGTTGGTCACGATTATTTTCACTCATGCCGATTTCGTTGAGGCTGCCATCACATGGAACGATGATGGGGCTGATGATTCTCGGCTAGAGACTTTTCACGCCGAAGCTGCTAGTGGTAGCTTGAAATAGAATCTGAGGCAGTGCCTCCCTTGACAAGATTGAGGGCGAAGACGTGCCACTGCTGGGTTGGAGTCATGCAATGATGACCCGCACTGTATTTTGTCGTGAGTATCTGAGGACACTGATGTCATCGGACAATGTCACAGGGGCCAAGGAGGAGCCTTTCTTGAGACATCGACTTTTCCCGAACTTGTGTTTGCACGCATGCAGGATCTTGGGGATGTGGAAAACCAGAAGACACGAGAGATGCATGATTGAATTAAGTATATTGTGATGGCTGCTTATGGTACTTTTTCAATCTGCATTCGTTTCTGTGCTGTCCAAGGACTTGGGACGAGGATGATTGCGACTACAAGGTTGTGCCTTTAGTAGCATTCAGCATAAGAATCACAGAGGGCTTGAGGCAGTAGCCGGGTTGAGACTTTGGTTTTTAAAGTAAGTCCTGGATATAGCCGAGTATAGATTCTAGGACTGGGGTTCAGGTTGACTTTCGATGTTCAGGGTTCGGTTGGATGTTCAGATTTGGAGACCCTCGGGGTTACTTCAGTACGGATTGTGGGTGAGTGAATAAATAAGGATTTTGGATGGACACTTGGATGTATTATAGCTTAAGGGCCGGTGGTTATAGGGTCTGTGCTCGTGCAGGAAAATGAAGAAGGAGAGCCATGGGTGGACGAAGACCAGGACCGGCTTCACGCACAGCCCTAAATAGGATTCTGCTTCAAGGGTCGCTGGTGGGGGGTTCAGGGTATTCGCTCGTGCAGGAATACGAAGAGGAAGAGCCATGGGTGGAGGAAAACCAGGACCGGCTTCACGCACAGACTTCGACATCGTCAGGGTTTTTAGAGTTTGGGTTTGTGTCCCGGAGGTCAAGTGTTTAGGGCTTGGGGTTTGCAAACTGGACATAATTACGGTTTAAGTAGGATTGAATAGTAAGTTTAGGAGTTCGGGATATCATGCTAATAGCTTTGGAGGTTTTCTGTGGGATTCTTGGAATCTAGGATTCAGACATAAGCTTCGCATGTAAGGATTCGCTGAAGGTTGAGGCTGTTCGATTCTGCAGATCATGCAGGAATGCCGAGAGGAAGAGGAGTGGCTCGAAGAAGACGAGGCCCAGTTTCATGCATAGATTTCAATGTGGCTCATGTATCTTCGAGAGGAATGGGCTCCAGATGATGAGCACAAGGGTGCCAAGGATCAACATAGGTGTGTGAGCTCTTCAAATTTGCGAATGTGTTGCCGCGACAGGACGAGGATGAACCTTACAAGGTGAATGACGAATGGGAGCAGGACTGACCGTATTCACGCCACCCGACCTTGTTTCCGTGTGTTTCCTTTAGTTTCATGCCCACAGGACGAAACAGCAGCCAAGGACGAGGAAGAACAGTGGGCCGAGGATGTTACAGTTAACTACAACCTGTTGCATCTTAAGTTTCTTAGTGTTTACGACTGCACGACAGGACCAGCCTGGAGAATTAGATGAGGCCGAAGAGCAATGGGCTGAGGACCGCAATTGGCTTTTCTTTTGGAGCAATTGAAATCCTCGACAGGACGAGCCGGGAAGCAGCCACGACAAGAAGTGGGAAAAGGAGAAGGAGTGGCTGGAGGAAGATCGAAGCTTACTTGTAAGTTACTTTCGCTGCGAGTTTCCATCAGGACGAGACACAGGGCTACGAAGAGATGAAGGGTGAAGGTGAAACCGGACCCAAGGACCGATCGGTTGCTTATAAGTAGTAATTATAGCTACTTCGCGAGTCTCTCAGAGCCCCGGCAGGATGAGAAAAAACAGGGCCATCAGGATGAGCTGAATGATGAGGATTGGTGGGAGCAGGACCAAGCACCGAAAAACATCGCATGTTAACTTAATGCTTACATATCTGGGCAGGAGCTCGCTGACTTCCCAGAGGATGGGTGGCCCGACGATGCCTACGAAAGTGAGGCCACCCTTTTGTAGCCTTTGCCACCAATGCTAGTTCTACTCATACTTCTAGTCCTCCTCCTGCTACCGCTACTACTTTATACTAGTACTAGTACTTCAATACTAGTACTAGTACTATAGAGTTTATTTTGGGTGCTGCTGCCTTTCTATACCATCCTGGCTCAGGTCTGGGGAGATGACCCCGACGAGGGACCGAAGGCTCGGAGTGTTTATAGATGAGCCAGATTCGCATAAGCTAAAGCTAATTCTACCTGTAGATCATTGCAATCTTAGACACTATATGCCCTAAATCTGTAGCCGAAACCTTCAAGCTCCATTGTACTTATAGCTCTCCCAAAACACTACTTACTGTTCTTTCAATGACAACCGAAGCTGTAATCTTCATCGACCGACCCCTTAATTAGGCTATACTATACTGTCTCTTATAAGGCCCTATAATGCTGTAATCTGTTCGCATCACCTCGTTGGTTGCTTCCTCGATACAGCTTAAATATAGTGCATATGTGCCCTCATATATCGGACAGGTCCCGCACTCGACATGGCAGCCCGAAGAGGAGGCAGGATCTCTTTCCCAACCCCAATCCTACCCAAACCCATCTGGTTCTTGTCAGGGTTTAGGGTTTAGGGTTTAGGTTTACATAGGGCTACTCTAGCCGAGCAGGCCTCAATTGAGGAGGAGGACAAATGGTGGCTGGAAAAGGATGCTCCGGGAAGCTCGTGGGAGGCCTTCTTAAAGGAGCCTCGACAGCTTTTTCGATGTGGAACTATAGGATCCTGCAAACCCGTTTGTTTTCGAGGACACAAAGGTAAAGGGAGCAGAAACTCAGGAAGCCCTGGCTGATCCCAAGGCAGAGTCAAACCTAAACCCATATTCCCTAAACCCCTAAACCCTAAATCCTAAACCCACCCCTGCCCCCCCCCCCCCAATCCCACGCAAGCCCATTTAAAGTCTTGTCGGGCAGGACACACGAAAGGAAGCAAAAGGTGAGGCAGCCCTGGTTGATCCCGAGGCAGGGTCAAACCCTACACCCAA